TAGCCTGTAATGCACTGCGTGTAAGGTTACTACGCTGCATACATGTGTAGCTCCGTGTGCCTTAGCCTGTAATGCACTGCGTGTAAGGTTACTACGCTGCATACATGTGTAGCTCCGTGTGCCTCAGCATGTAATGCACTGTGTGTAAGGTTACTACGCTGCATACACGTGTAGCTCCGTGTGCCTTAGCCTGTAATGCACTGTGTGTAAGGTTACTACGCTGCATACACGTGTAGCTCCGTGTGCCTTAGCCTGTAATGACTGACACCCTGCAGCCCCTGGGAGAAAAGCCTGGAGCCGCCTATGTGTACGATACATCAAAACATATGTTACAGTGTTTTACTTTCAGTACAAATGCTTTACAGTATTTCACTGTCATGCTTTATTGCAGATTCCAGAACAACTGGTCAGGAAACTTGGTCCCCTGCACAGACTCCAGTGAAAACTGAGCACAGATGTCAGCCCCAGCAGGGCGCTATAGTATTTCTAAGCCTCACCTGTGCTTCTTTACTGGCTGGTATCATCGCTGTCTTTGTCTGCTGTAAGTACTACACACTTATACTGAATCAGATTCGGTTCTATATTAATGGATTGATTCCTCCGTTTCTGAATTCCTTTGTGTCACATCAAAGCCCATATTAACTCTCTCACCCCAATACTTGGTGCAGAAGGTCTATTCAGCAAGAGTGTCTCTCTGCAGATTATCTTACTACAGGGCAGCTGCGAAAGGACCAGACTTTGCTGGATGAGATTTTACAGTTCAGTAATTTTCCTGTAAAACAATATTGTTCAAAAGGTGAGTCCTGGCTTTCCTAGTTCTGCTTAATTTCATGAGGTGTTTTCCCCATTATGAAGGTAAAGTCTGATATGTCACTCCTTTATGGATGTGAACTTGATTCACACCTCTGGTGACACTCATGCACACACATTAGTTGTGTCCAAAGCAACTTATAAGTGAGGATTAGACAGTGCTGCTGGAGCAACTGGGTTTACGAGCCGTACTGAGGTGCACAATGGTGAAACCAGGGGCGGATCTAGGATTTTTGGAAAGGGGGGGCGCAGCCACTAGAGCGAGTGCCGTAAACGTGAATCTCTAGGCAACAAAAATTGTTGTTCATGGAAAAATAGGGGGGGCGTGCAGCCGGTGCGCCCCCCCTCTGGATCCACGCCTGGGTGAAACCACTGATACTTGCAGGATTTGAACTAGTGACCTTCTGATCACGAGCATGAGTCCTAACCTGCAGCCACACACCTCCTATGCAGTAACCTTCAAAAACATGTGATTAAGTGAAATGGAAACACTACATTACCCATAGTGCATCAGTGTACACCTGTGATAGACTGGCAGCCTGTCCAGGGTATTCCCTGTTACATATAAGCTATATGCTGGATATTGGTCATGGAAGACAGATGAATGGACAACCTGAAAGCTAGTATGTATTATTACTCCTGGTTTCTCCTGAGCAGAGAGAAGATGCTCACGCTGCGCAAGTGGCTGGATGTTCAACAATTCAAAGTGTTATTTTGTGGACCTTGATAAACCATGGAAAACGTGGGAAGACAGTCGTCTTGAATGCATCAAAATGGGGGCTGATCTGTTAACCATACAAAACAAGGAGGAACAGGTACGACAGTCCAATGAACTAAATCATGTTTCTGTGACAGTACTCTTAAATGTAAATACAGTTCAGAACGTTTTGCCTGTTGTATACAGTAGCTACCCACAGCAAAAACCACTCTGTTAACACAAAATATACCTTTTATCTAATGCACCTATGAACGTTCACATTTTTGCTACCCATATACTTTGATTTAATAGAGAAATAGTTACTAAATCAATTCCCAAAACCTGGGAGTTTTTAAATTATTTAAACACAGCTCCTACTGTACTTGAGTCTGTATCTACTATGCAGTGTGGCCATGAATAACCTCACTGTCTCCATTCAGATGTTCATCATGAACTTTGCACCCACATACTATGACGAATGGCACGGTTACTGGATCGGACTGACTGGAAAAGCACAGGACTGGGTCTGGATC